CAACTCCGTCATCTGATCAATCCTGTCTCGTGCAGGATTTGGTCATTTGAGGAGATTAGGGCGTGGAAATCCACAATACCTGTAACGGCCAGATACACACATTTAAAGTTCCGTCATTTCTTCCACTCCTTGAATTCCTCTTTAACGCTAGATCTCCCCACTGATTTAAAGAGGGTAGCTATTCAAGGTCTCTCCCAACAACATCTTATCACCTCTCTATATAAAATGTTTCTCAATAAAGACTCTCTTGTTGAGAGACCTGTTATATGAAGAGATGGGAGGATGAACTCCAAAGCTCAATTTGTTTGGCAGGTGATATGGGATTCTGTTGCTAAGACCTCTCGTTGTGTTGAATATAAAGAAAACTTATATAAAATATTGATGCATTAGTACAAGACCCCAGTAGTGATCCACGCGATCAACCCAAATCTGTCTGACAAGTCCTGGAGATGCATGGAAGAAGTAGGTATATTGGCACACATTTTTGGTTTTGTCCACAGATTACGGGTTATTGGGTTACGGTTAGAAAGGTATTGGAACAAGTACTCAATGTTATCCTACCTCCAGACCTGTTACACTATCTTTTGGGGCTACCCTTTAGGGGTATCCCCAAGCAATCTAAGAGGTTGGGAGTGTATATTCTGATGGCCGCTAGAAGGGTGGTACCACGACTCTGGAAATCAGTAGATGTTCCCATGCTAAGTCATCTTCTAAGAGCGATCTCTGAAATCAGGGAAATGGAATATCTTACAGCTATTTGGGAACTATGGGATCATTCTCCCTTTGGTAGACTTCCTTCCTCCCCCCCCCCCCTTATATAGTCCAGACACTTCTCCATGTAACATGCCTTTGACAAATAATGTAATTCAATGATGTGCAGGTTTATGTTGATTTATGTGTTTGAATTGTACTTACTACCATGCTGTTTATTATCTATGTCCATATTTCTCCTGATTTTGTTTTCCTTTATACTAAATGATGGTTTTCTTTCATTGCAACTTTTACACTTAAAATGTTGTTGTTGTAACTATGTGCTGTGTTAAAAAATGGGCACTGGCCCTTAATAAAAATGTACAATATTAAAAAAAAAAAAATAATTATATATATTATATATATATATATATATATATATATATAAGCATTAGATATCTAATTACCTGGGGGAGATGTTAATAAACCCTGTATGGACACTATAACCCTTAGTAGTTACCCGCAGGTATCATCCAGCGTATGGAAGCCTGCCTCAGCCTACCTCATAACCCCTTGTTCCAATGTCCTTTTTTGCTGTCCTTTCTCTCTACTTTCTCTGTTCTTACTTAATTCTCTCCTAGCCTATTTTTTGGTCTTACAGTTGATACTGTCATATAAGGGGTACCCCCCACAAAAACACCTTTATACTTTTATTCAATAAAAAAAAATTTATACAGAGATCACATACAGTTTTGGTAAGCCCTTTCATTTTATGCAAAAACAGTGTTGACTAGAATTTAAGTCAGTATGAATTAGTAAAAGTTTAAGGAAACTAGTATTGGTAAAAATACTGGAGCTACCATTTCTAACCGTGGAGTCACTGATTTTGAACAATAATGCAGGTTAGAAAGCAGTCCTGATCTGTATGCTTGGTACTGGTTGAAGTTGAATACCCTGTGTGCTGTGTGAGCCCTTAGTATAATGTGAAGATATGCACAGTACTGTATATGCTATACAGCATAGAAAGAGAATTACAAATTGCTAGGGGAATCCCCCATTATCAGGACTTTCTAAACTGTAGTTAGAAATTTATTCAGAAAGTTTCCTGGCAGCAAGAAAAATGTATAACTAGCAATTGCTTACGGTTTGGTGCTCTCATCCTTTCACGCCATGCATTCAGTACATTTTTGATCATTAAAGTTGAACTAAACTCTGAAAATAAAACAAACGCTAATAGGTAACATTTTTGGCAGAGGAGCTATGTCCCTTCTGCCAAAAATCTCTACCTCCTAGCATTTCTTTTAATGTTTATTTTAAATGCACCAAAATGCACAAAAATGCATGAAACCAAACAATAAACCACATGAAAATAAATGTGCAAGTAATTTAACATTGCTGCTACTGATGCCAGTATAGAATTATCAGTGAAAGGACTTTAACTAGAACCGGAGTTCGCACGACTACGGTCATCACTTTAGGACTGTTCTGGGGAGTCACTGGAATTACCAGTGCTGTCTCAGATGCAGTGTATCATATATAGGGCTGTTTCATTTTACCTTTGAAGAAGGCAGTTTTTTGACAACTTAGTTGAAACTTAAGCTCTATGCATTCACAAGTAGTCTGCCTGATTAACTGGTTTGTTTTCTTTAGGGTCTCTAAAACAGCACTTGACTGTAGCATTTATGCCTTTGTAGAAAAACTGGTTAATCTAAGACCACTCTAAATAGTTATTACACTTAAATGAGTCATCTTCTCCTGTTGGCCTTTGTGTGTACCTGTTGATGCATTTAATAAAGCTTCTAATTTATCATTTGTCCAGTGTGTAGATGTTCTAATCTCTCCTCGTGCAACAGACCCTTATTACATAAATGCACTGCTCAAAAAATTAAAGGAACACTTTTTAAGCGTTTTCAGCTGTTTTGGTGTTAATTAAATGAACAACAGGTGCACTAGATGGACAACAATGAGACGACCCCCAAAACAGGAATGGTTTTACAGGTGGAGACCACTGACATTTCTTTCCCTACTCATCTTTTCTGACTGTTTTTCACTAGTCTTGCATTTGACCAGGGTCACTACTGGCGATACCTGGATCATACATAGGTTGAACAGGCAGTCCAACTCCTCCAGGATGGTACATCAATACATGCCATTGCCAGAGGGTTTGCTGTGTATCCTAGCACAGTCTCAAGAGCATGGAGGGGAATCCAGGAGACAGGCAGTTACTCTAGGAGAGCTGGACAGGACCGTAGAAGGTCCTTATCCATCAGCAGGACCGTATCTGCTCTTTTGTGCAAGGAGGAACATGATGAGCACTGCCAGAGCCCTATAAATTGAGCTCCAGCAGGCCACTGGTGTGAATGTCTCTGACCAAACAATCAGAAACAGACTTCATGAAGATGGCCTGAGTGCCCGACATCCTCCAGTGGGCCATGGGCTCACTGCCCGGCACCATAGAACTTGATTGGCATTTGCCATTGAACACCAGAATTGGCAGGTAACCACTGGCACCCTTTGCTTTCACAGATGAGAGCAGGTTCATCCTGAGCACATGTGACAGACGTGAAAGGGTCTGGAGAAGCCATGGAGAATGTTATGATGCCTGTAGCAACGTTCAGCATGACCATTTTGGTGGTGATTCAGTGATGGTCTGGGGAAGTATATCCATGGAGGGAAGCACAGACCTCTACAAGCTAGACAATGGCACCCTGACTGGCATTAGGTATCAGTATAAAATCCTTGTACCCATTATCAGACCCTACGCTGGTGCAGTGGGTCCTGGGTTCCTCCTGCTGTACATCAATTCCTAGCCTCATGTGGCAAGACTATGCAGGCAGTTCCTGGAGAATGGCCCCCACGCTTGCCTGACCTAAATCCAATAGAACACCTCTGGGTTTCGATCCATCCGACGCCACCAGGTTGCACCGCAAACTGTCCAGGAGCTCAGTGATGCCCTGGTTCAGATCTGAGAGGAATCTCATTAGGAGCATGCCCCAACGTTGTCAGGCATGAATACAAGCATGTGGGGGGGGTCATACAAACTACTGAGTACCATTTTAAATTGCTGCACTGAAACTTCAGCACAATAGACTAGCGTGCTGCATCATTTTTTCACTTTGGTTTTCGGGATGTCTTTGAGTTCAGTCCTCTGTAGGTTGATTATTTTCATTTCCATCAAATGATGGGGCAACTTTATGTTCCTAGCACATTACCCACTCCATATCAGTATAGATATCCAACATGATATTTTTCCCCATTGAGATCGGATGTGTTTTCAAAGTGTTCCTTTAATTTTTTTAAGCAGTGTATATTTAATATCTTTTCCTAAATAAGCTTTCAGTTTTACATTTTCCTTAAAAAAAACACAGAGGACAATTAAATTGTATAGTCCAAAGATACGATTACGTTGAGCTACAAATGTGTATAATGTTTCTGGGTACTGTGGACTTTTTTGTTCCTAAGAACAGTAAATCCACTTATCTTTGTTAAATATTATAAAGTGTTTAGATTCAGTGACCTGAAAAATATACGGAGGATAGGCTGGGTTCACACAGCTGTCTGCAGACCTGTCTTACACCTGTCATATTTCTGTACAAAAAAAAAAAAGGAATGTTAAATAGAAACATAGCAGACTGAGCAGGAAACTGAAAAAATGTATTTTCTGCCAACCATAATTGCACACTAGAGCAACATGCTTTACCTTTTTCTCCAAGCCATATGGACAGTTCCTTAGCCACTAGCCTACAGGACACTTATACCCCCTTCCTGCCCAGGCCAATTTCCAGCTTTCAGCGCTGTCGCACTTTAAATGAAAAATGCGCGATCATGCAACATTGTACCCATATGAAATTTTTATCATTTTTTTTGTGACAGATAGAGCTTTATTTTGGTGGTATTTAATCACCTCTGGGTTTTTTATTTTTTCTTAAACAAACCAAAAACCACAGAAAATTTTGAAAAAAAAAATGTTTTTTCTTAGTTTTTGTTATAAAATTTTGTAAATAAGTGATTTTTCTCCTTCACTGATGTGCGCTAATGAGGCTGCAGTGATGGGAACTGATAGGCTGCACTGATGGACACTGATAGGTGGCAGTGATGGGCACTGACGAGGAAGCACTGGTAGGTGGCCCTGATGGGCATTGACGGGCATCACTGACGGGCACTGAAAGGCAGCACTGATACATGGCACTGATATATGGCACTGATAGGCAGCCCTGATAGGCGGCACTGACTGGCACTGATAGGCGGCACTGATAGGCGCCACTGACTGGCACTGTTAGGTGGCACTGATTGGCAGCACTGATAGGTGGCACTGATTGGCATTGATAGGTGGCACTGATTGGCAGCACTGATAGGTGGCACTGATTGGCATTGATAGGTGGCACTGACTGGCACTGATGGGTGACACTGAAAGGCAGCTCAGATGGGCACTGATATGTGGCATTGATGTGCACTGGTAGGCACTGATGGGCACTGGCACGAGGCACTGATGAGCACTGACACAAGGCACTGATAGGTGGCACTGCTGGGGCCACACTGATCATCAGGGCACACTGATCATCAGTGCCCTGATAATCAGTGTACATGTCCCCTCCACGGAAAGCCGATTACCGGCTCTCCTCTCGAGCTGTCAGCGTGACAGCTCGAGAGGAGAGAAATGCTGATAACCGGCATTTCCGTGTTTACATGTGATAAGCTGTGATTGGACACAGCTGATCACATGACCGAGCCGACATATTCGGCTCTTTCCGTGATCGGTGATCCGTTGTGTCTGAGGGACACAGCGCACTGCCGATCGCCGCGCTGCGCACTCCCTGAGCCGCGCATGTGCAGTGAGAATGGGAGGACGTCATATGATGTCCTCCCAGAACGAGAGAACCACCTTGCGCCCGTCATATTACGATATGGCGGGCGGGAGGTGGTTAAAGAGAAGGTATGGTATTTTAAAATTAATTTTCTTCCTTTATTTGTTATGGCCAGAACTATAAAATACATTGACAAATATTTTTATTTTTTAAGGCAGGTAAATAATGCATATGGTATAAAACTATTTCATGTTTAAATTTAAAGCCAGCAGGTGAAGCTCTAAGCTCATTTTAGGGTAATGTCACAATTTTCCTGCCTGTGTTTTCTTATCTCCTTGCTGCAGTGGTTCTTCTAGACCTGTGTTTCTATTCACATATGTTGTTTGGCTTCTGTGCTCACTTATGGATGTCACCTCCTATTCTGTAGGTTTAAATTTCCTTTCCCTTCTATCATTTCCTGGCCCACTTCCCAGTTTGCTTCCCTATATATATTCTCAGAGCAGCCCACTTTGCCTTATCAAATTCCTAGGAGCTCTTCTGAGATCATGTTTGCCTATTATTATGTGTATTCACAGTCTGACTTCCCATGTATTGACTCCAGGTTCATCCACAGTTTGTGCTTGCTTGATGCCCACCCTGACCTCGGCTTGTCTCCTGGATTTCCTTTTGTCTACTGCCATTTGTGCACTACACACACACAAGTAGTCTCTGAACCTTCAGCTGCGCGTACCTGGAGTCCCCGACCTGGTTCTGGCTTGCTGAAAATCCATCCCCACCATCAGGGTCCTGGTGAAGAAGCAGGCTGGGGCTTAGATTCCACACCCTGGGGAAACCACAAGTTGGCGATCTACAAGGGCTCATTATTACAGAAACCTGACAGTTTGCTTAGGCCATGAGCCCTTGGAGACACCGCAGCCTCTTCTGGAACAACTTCAATGTACAAAACAGAGAGTTGATGTTCAGCAGGCCTATCAAGAGCAGATTATGCAATGTTTACAGGAACATTCCACCTGTTTGGACCATCTGCAGGTTGTGACCACTTCATCTCCCTCTGTTTCTACTACTGCCCTGGTTCCTGCTACTCTGGCTCCTTTTGTTCTTCCTGTTTTGGACAGTCCTTTGAAATTCCAGCTGCCTCCACCTCTTCACTTTTCTGGTGATCTAAAAGCTTGTTGGGGCTTGATAAATTAGTGCTCAATTAATTTTGAACTAGTAGTCCCGCCATTTCCCTACTGATTGCTGCAATGCTGCTTACATGATATTACTCCATTTCGGTAATGCTCGAGCTTGGGCCTCGCCACTGTAGGAGTGTCAAGATCTCACAGTTTCCAGTCTTACTGCCTTCCTGCAAGATTTTTGTAAAACATTCAATGTGCCAGGTCGGGCCTCATCCACTGCTGGAGCACTTCTTCTGCTTCATCATGGAAGCATGACTGTTGGACAATATACAGTTTAGTTTTGCACCTTGGCCTCGGAACTAGCATGAAATAATTTGGCCCTTACTGCAACTTTTTGTCAGGGCTTAGCAGATTGAATTAAGGACAAAATAGCTGGCAGAACCATACCCCTCTACCCTGGATGACTTGATCACCCTTAGCATCCAAATCAATGTCTTCTTCTAGGTGGGAGATCTGAATACGGCTTGTCCATGTCCCACCCAGTGTGTCGTCTAGCACCTGTTTCTCAGAAAGCTCCTGAACAAGCTACCTTTGCAACTATGTTGGCATCTGAAGAACCTATGCAATTAGGGCAGACTAGGTTCACACCACAAGAGTGTTCTTGTCGCCTGAAACTCAGCCTATGTCTTTACTGCGGGCTGATGGTCACATTTTAAAGTCCTGTCCTGTTCTGTCTGCCTGGGAAACTCTCAGGTCCAGGTCGATTCAAGGGAGGTGATCCAGACCTGAACTCTGCTACCTTCTCTTAATTTATTTTACCTGTCTCCATTTATCAGACCATGAATTAATTTCAAGTATCTGCATATGTGGACTCTGGGGCAACCAGGAACTTCACTGAGCAGACCTTGGGCGCTGAAATGGCCATTCCTCTCATTCCCTTTGCAATGCCCCTCTCAGTATATGCAGTAGATGTCGCTACCTTGGCCTTAGGACCCTACGATTCTGAACTACTTCCATAGATTTGCATCTCGGTGTTGTACATCATGAGACAAACTCCTCCCTGTTACTTCTTAAGTGTTCTAGACCCATCATTCTTGGATTTCTGTAGTTGCAAAAACATCTATCTAGATTGGAACTCTGGTCAGGTGTTGTCATGGAGGTTGCAATGCCATTAGACTTGTCTCCCTAAGGTGTTTCCACCACTCTCTATACCCATGGCTGAGGTCACCACATCTCTGATGCACCCTCAATATTATCAGGCCTTTCAAGATATTTTTTGTAAGAAAGCTGTTGACCTCTTCCTTCTCACTGTCTCTATTATTGTGCTAATGATCTCTAACCTGAAACTACTCCGGCACTGGGCTGAGTCTATCCTCTCTCCATTCTTAAGACTCAAGCCATGTCTGAGTACATGAAGGAAAATATGCAGAAATGATTAATCTGAAAGTCCAATTCTCCCACTGGGTCTGGCTTCTTCTTTGTGGAGAAAAAAGGATAGTACGCTCCGACCCTGCATTGAATATAGAGGTCTCAATGCCAGAATCAGTACTCACTACCTTAATTACTGGACTCTTTGATAGGCTTCAGGATGCTCAAATCTTCACAAAGTTGGACCTCTGTGGAGCACACAATTTGATTGGGACTCGAGGGGATTGAGTGGAAGACAGCTTTCAACAAAGGTGGGCATTAGGAGTATCCTTTGATGTCTTTTGGCTTGTGTAATGCCCCAGCCATTTTCCAGAACTGTGTTAATGACATTTTTTCTAATATCTTGTACGTTTGTGTAATTGTGTATCTGAACGACATACTTATTTTCTCTCCAGATTTGAACACTCATCGTTAGCCCGTATGGAAGGTTCTTCAATGTCTTCTGGACCACTGCCTGTACATAAATCTGAAGAAATGTCTCTTTGAACAAACCCTGGTTCATTTCCTTGGTTACATAGTCACAGGTAAAGGGATGCTTATAGCCCCAGCCAAACTTCAGGCCATATTCAACTGGCCCTCTGGTCTGAAAGCAACACAGCGCTTTTTGGAGTTCACCAATTCCTATCGCCAGTTCAGTCCTGTATTCCACTCTGGTTACCCAAATAACTTCTTTGACTCAGAAAGGTGCTGATGCTAGAACCTGGCCTCTTGAGGCAGTTGAGACTGTCCACTTTATCTCAGCGACTATTCTTATGTGTCCTAACATTCTCCACCCGTTCTTCTCCAAATGCATGATGACCAGCTCCGCCCTTGTGCCTTCTTTAAGAAGTTTTTGGATGCTGAAAGAAATCACCATCAGGTGTGAACAGGATCAGGTACTTCTTGCTATTAAGCTAGAGCTGCAACAATGGCAGCATCTTCACACTGTATCCTGATTTATAATGATCACAAGAACCTCCAGTACCTGCAATCTGCCCAACATTTGAATCCCAGACAAATGTGATGGGCTCTATTTTTTGCCAGGTTTAACTTTGACATTACCTTTTGGCTCGTTTCCAAAAAGGACTATGCTGCTGCCTTGTCCAGATGATTCTGAATGTCATGTTAAAAAGGAACCCATCTTTCTTGCCAATCATATCCTGGCCACCACCTGTCTTCTGTCTTCATGTATGCTGCCCAGAGAGACCTCTGCAGTGCCCACCCTTCACTCTGAACTTCTGAAATGGGCACATGACTCCAAACTCTCAGAACATCCTGGTGTACAACGTACCTGTGCCTTTCTGCAGCATTACTACAGGTGGACCTCCCTTCAGAAGGGTGGGTGGTTGTGGACAGGTCTTCTAAAATGTGTCACTTAACTTCAATTCTGGGACTACCTTCAGTTGTCACTATGGCTTCAATCATCATTAAGCACTTGCCGACCGGGCACTTTTGCCCTCTTCTTGCCTAGGCCAATTTTCAGCTTTCAGCGCTGTTGCACTTTGATAACAATTGTGCGGCCATGCAACACTGTACCCATATGACATTTTTATATTTTTTTCACACAAATGGAGATTTCTTTTGGTGGTGATAGTATATTTGATTTGTGTCGCGCACCACTAAATTATTTGCTTACGTGAGCTATAATGTATTTAAAGTGCAATATGTGCTCAAATATTATTATTAATATCATCCATATATATATATATATATATATATATATATATGAGCCCAAAAAAATGTTATGAAGATAAACAATATATATTAAAAATAAAAATCAAATTGTGAATATATATATATATATATATATATATATAGATAGATAGATAGATCTAATAAAAATTAACATTTTTAAAAGATAAATAAAATATATAGTGTCCAAAAAATTATTGTCCAATCCAAAATTGTGTCCACTCCGTGATTAGCAGCTATGTGTCCTTATGTAGACAAGTAGGGTATTTTCCAGCTGTAGTTTAATTCCAGAAATGATGGGTAGTAGGATGTAATATTTCAATTTTCCCACCAGGGGTCTCATAGGCTTGCTGATCCCTATACATGATCTGGATGGATGGATTTCTCCCTCTGTCCTCCAGGGGTCTTTTTATTTCCTCCACCTCCTCTCTTCATTACTCCATTTAGTTGATGTTATGAAAGAAGAAAAGATATAGTGCCTTATCCTTTTAAAAGGTTTTATTTATGTACCAATATTATTCTCTCACATTGATTACATAATATGTGCGCTTTTTAAAATATCCAAAAACTCCTCTGTGTGTGCTCTGCACACTCAGTATACTCGCCGTCCGGTATACTCAGGGCGAGTATACTGAGTGTGCTCTGGCCCAATGTAATTAGGATTAAAAATGTGAGTCTTTAGTACTACTTTAAAGAAGAATTCCAGGTGTGGATATTTTTACTTACTTACATTTAGCCTGGCTTAGACAAATGTAACTA